ATGCAGCTCAAACGGCAGGGGTTTTGTAAAAATATCTGCTAGTTGTTCCTTGGATGGAATCCATTTAAGGATTATTTTTTCACTGGATGCACATTCCTTAACGTAGTGAGCCTCTCGCGCGGTCATATGTCTCAGTCTTTTGCCACCATCTATCTTAGCACTTGCTCCAGCGACTTTGTTGTCACACCAAAGGTCCACAGGCAACAGAGTATATGACAGTATTAAGCTAATTAAGTGTTCCAATTACTTCAGCTCCTGGCTTGCATGGCACATCACCACGTATTCTGCCTCGCAGGTTAAGATTGCAATGTAATTCTGTTTTCTCGTCTTCCAAGCAACTGTATCACCATACAATCTTATGAGGTATCCACCTTTGTAATTGAGCCTTTACAAAAGGCTTCTAATCTATTTTTCTGGCCTCTCTAGGTTAATCCCAGAGTTTTGGTGTGTTGCAGATATTGAAAGACTCGTTTGACCATTCTTTAGTCATCTTCAGTTTGGCACATTTTGTGTCTGCTTAGTAAATTTTATTCTCGTCATACGTAGCGTGCATAGCAATTCAGTTCAAATACGCAGATGTTGATGAGCTATTTCTTAACTTTAAAATAAAGGTTAATTCTGCAGAGTGTTTTTTATATAATAAGAAAGCACATAGCTCAAAGATTTAACAATATATTAATTAAAAATTATAAAGTTCAAATTTTATTACAAATTTTTACAGTCCATTAAAAAGTGCCCTTATGATTAATGTACTACTATTTTTAGCCCGTAAGTACAAAGGTCCATCATTATCAGTCGTTCTGCTTCGATACGCTGTTGAAGTAAGTATCCCTGTTGTGACAGTATGTTTTTTCGAGTTGACTTAACTATTTCAACGTTAGTAAATCAGTTTTAAATGTGCTGTTACAAATAAAATTTACCGTCTTATCACACGGTTAATTCAATAAATATTGTTTTACACTTATTTACTGTAAACAAAGTCACATAATCTTACACATAGAGAAGTTTCAAGTGCATTTTAGTTTTGTTTCAATTTTAGCCTTTATTAATGATGAAAATTTAAAAGATGCATTGACATTTTTAATTTATTTTCTTCTTGTTTTAAATACAGGTTCTTAGGTTTGTAATCAGAAATGGATTTAAAGAGGCAAAACTGGTGAGTCGTTAAAATTATGTAAGCTTAAAAATAAAATTAATTAAAAAAATTAAAGAAAAGCAAAATAATAACAATGTTAAAAGTAAGAAGAGGTTCAAGACAGCCTTTCTAGCTTTAACTTAATTTAGAAAACAAAAATTTCTGACATAGTTGGTAAAAAATGTGGACCTAAATCAATTTTATCTGAAGACGTGAAAAAAAAAATTTTTTAGTGGATTGTTGTTTGATCTCAAACTGATAATTCTGTGACAAAAGATAAGGTTCTTGATGCTGTACAAAAGTATGTAAAAGAGGTTGGTTTGGAACTCCATTTGTGAATGACAGACCAAATAAACGTAGGTGTTAAAGATTCAAACAGTGTTTTCCTAGACAAACTAAGAGAAAGCTTAAAAAACTGAGCCCCTCTACATAAAAAAGATCTAGAAAAAATTTGCTAAGATATTTTTTTAACAAAATTCTAATTTACAGAGTAACTAAAAAATAAGTTCTCAATTAATATTGAAGCTGTACCCATTATTACTTTAGAAGCTTCTTTAAATTTTAGCAATGATATGTCATTTAATTTAACATCTAAAGCTGAAACCCGAACAGTTTTTGTAGAGAAAACGTACGATTCGGATAATTTGTTACAAAACCTATGGAATGAACGGACAACGGCAAAAATTTAGTTAACGCAGGAATTGTGTCCAAGTGTTTGTTATATAACTGTTAACAATTGAGTCATGATTGTCTTTAATGTGAGATCTGATTTTTGTCAGATCTAAATTCTGCAAAATTTAATCGACCTAACTTTAGTAAAGTAATTTCATAAGTACTAACAGCAAGGTCAATATCAGCGTTGTTTAAAGCTGAGACAGGACGATTGCTTGTCCAAAAGAACTAACTCTTATCAAAGTTAGGTTCTTATCTGCTTGTAATGCTGACAAGACTTTAGCCATTTCTAAAACAAGTAAGTAGCTCTATAGTTCAATTCTTGTTAAGTCATACTTCATAATTATCTTGAATGTTAATAATACATTTTTTCAGGTCAAAATCCTACAGAATCAAATTGACAAGACGGTAAGAGCAGTAATATCTTACAAATCAGTAACTCTTCTCGATTAGCTGACAGAAATGCTGAGATTTAACCAACTGTTACTACTTCTAAGACTTCTTTGGATGTAAGTTTTGTTGATTATAGTGCAGCCACTGATAAAACAAGTAATTTATATAAATATTCAATTCATCATACTTCACAAAAACATTAGTATTATGTATGACAATGAGAAAAAAAGTTTTGATAAATGTTTTTCAATTACGTATTCACTGGCTAAGAGAAAAAAATTAGAAATTCTGGAAAACCTTACCCTCAATCAGCTGGTATATCAGATATCAGATGCTTATTTTAAATGGATAAAAAAAATAAAAAAAAGAAGTTAAAGACAAAAGGATACAAAATAAATAAAAGGGAGTCACTTAAAAAAAAAATGTAAAAGATATTATCAATGGCATTCGAAACAAAATTAAAATTACTACTGGAAAAAATGAGAAACGGAGCTGTTGAATCGAAAAGAGGTTTGACTAAAGAAAAAAAATTAAAGCTTAAAATAACGTTTAATTATATTCAAAAATAGATTAATGATTTACAGTATGATAAAAAATTTGACACTTAATTTTTATTTATATCGATAGAATTTTTTATAACTTTTTACACTGTGGTCTTATAATTGGGGTACACAAGGTCTTTGTTATGAAATATGCATGGTCCAATAACTGGGGTACTTCGATGCTTGGTATCAAAAATTTTGTCCAAAAGGTCATGCTCTTAAAAGCTTATTATAAAATAAGGAAGCAATAGTTTTAAGCAAATTTGGCTTACTTTCATTGAAAAGACGTATTAAATGAAATAAATAAACAACTTTTGCATACAACAGCTTATTTTCTACGTAGCATGCGTTGTTGCTGAGCTTTACATATAGGGAACCACAATTGGGTACTTTACCTCACCACTTGAACTACCAAGGAGTCGTGCTCTCTGCATACACAGTAGATTATGATAGATCTCATTCTTTTAATAGAGCTGCTTCTTAACCAATAGCTCAAATTGAATATTCCAATGAAGTATGATTATAGGAAATCATTTTCCCTTTTCGATAAATTAAGTATTAGAAGTTTTATATGACATTATCACTGGCATAATAAGTAATATTTGTGATACGTGTGTATCATGAAATTTGTAGACACATATCGATAGAGTAACTAGCACTTTTAGTATATCTAAATCCTTTTCTGATGATCATATAAAAACCGCTTTTGCTGACTAATTTTAGTCTTGTTGAAAAAATTTGGATTTAATTGTTCTCGAATACTCGTGCCTTATTATTTGTATCTCAACGTTAACGGCACTTACAAAATTTTTTTTTTGTTAAGTTATATTTAGGCATTAAAAAAATTTTCTTACAAAAATCAAACTAAGTTTTAAACGTGTACCGAAGACTTCTTTGATTACTTTTTCTACTTTGGGCATTTTTTAAACATTTGTTTAGTGCACCTTTAGTAGGAAAAATAACGATTTGCACGTCATGCAGTTTAAGTATTCAAACATAAACTTAGAAGTAGTTGTACAATAAATAAACAATTGTCTCCTTTAAAACTTGTCTTAAATGTCCTTCTCACTTTTTGATTGTCCTTAAAACTTATGGTGCGCTTATTATCAAATGTTTTTAATCAATACGTAAAAATAAGCACTTCATAACTTTACTTTAAATGTTTGAATTACGATTAGTTTAACCAGTAATACTATTTTAAGAATAGCATGGAATATTCAAAAATCATTTGGGAGTTACATAAAAGTTGGTGTATGCCATAAAGTAAATTCCAACGATAAAAATGTCTTATAACAGGACAAATAACCGTTTTAAAACAATTTTTATTTTATATTGTGTTACATTTGCGTTTATACCTTAATTTTAGAAAAAATGAAAGCAAGAAAGCCAAAAAATTTTAGGTCAGGTTGAAAACAACAGCTTTCTTGATACTAGAAAACTTTGTCCACTACCTAACTAAGCTACACTAGCTCACATTTTAGTTATTTTATTTTCACCATTGATATCCTCTTCCGTTACTGTTTTGTTTTTAACATTAAGAATTAACAATTTTGTTTCGTAAACGCTATATTTTTTGATGTCTCTTCATAAATGTTATCCTGCATAGGCTTCATGCGAAAATACAAAATCATCGTGGATGACTCAGAATTATTCATAAAACTTTCGACAGCGATAAGTGATTTACAGTACATATCAAAAAAAGTTTTATTATTCATAAAATAAAATAGTAGTTAAATAAAAAATGGTGAGATAATAGTACACTTTAGCGGTTTGCTGCTTAAAAGATAGTGAACGGTTTTCTGTAAGTGAAGCACTTGATACTTTTATCATTCGAGTTGCAGTTTCAACTTTTTCTAGGAAATTCATCTGAATAGACTTAATATCTTCTTGAATTACAAAAAATTGGTTTCGTATGTATAAGTTGAAGTTGGCTTCAGTATATTGTAGTTCACTTAAATCATTGGTAACTACGTTATCAATAATATCATCCATGATAATATTGACATGATTTACAAAAGTCTGCCACTCTACATAAATAATGGCCATTATTTTAGAATGTGATTGCTGATATAACTTGTTTGATATACTTTTTTTTAAATTTTTGAAAGATTTATTTAAATAACCCTGTAAGTTTTTCAGGGTAAAATTATTTTGAGAAAGTAGAATTTCTATGTTTTTTGTAGAATTGTTTATTGTATTTCTCCATTTTAGTTTATCTGATAAGCAATACGCTTCTGTACCGAAAGATGAACACTTACATTGGAGAATTTGATGAATCTTAAAATTCTTAATTTGGTCATTAGCTTGCATAAATAGTCCTTTCACTACAGTTTTGTAAGTAAACCACACATGCTTGGGATGATCAGGAATGGGTTTTTTAGTTTTAACAAAGTGAAGTAGTTTAGCAATTACGTTTTGTAAAAAATCTTCAGATGAACTGTTATAGATTTTTACATCTTCTGCAAAGTTTTTCAAAAGCTCTTTTTTTTTACCCTGTATCTTAGCATAAAAGTAAGTATACTTCTGTTTTAATTTAGTGAAAGTGTGATCTATTATTTTTTTGAAATAGAGCAAACTTTTTTTTGCTCCTTCTAAGTCTGGTTTTTTTTTTTGAGTTTCGTAAAATGTATCTTTAATTACTTTTATTACTCTATCGAAGTTTTTTTTTTTCTTAGTTTCTGATAAAGCTTTTTTAGTTACAAATATTCTATCACTACCAAATTCAAAATCAACCATTGATTGGTTCCTTATTTGTGACCACAAAGAATTCGTATTATTTTTGATTGTAAACTGGTGTTCAAGAGTTCTAAGATAATTGTGATTTCCTTCATGTACATTAAAATTTGTTTTATTGTCAAATGGAATTGTTTGATTCAACAAATTAATATGTTTAAATTGCCGAATGTTGGGCTGATGACGTATGCTCCATAAAGAAGTATTAGTTTTTTTGCTTAACATAGACCAAATTGGAAAAGTGCCATTGAATAGTACATTGTGAGCATTAATTGTCAGTATTACATCACTAATTGTAGCATTCATATCATATTTAATGCTGTCCCAGTTGATTGGTATTATTTTTAACGTGAATATTTCCCTCCAATATGATTGAAGCTTATTAAGATTAACATTAATATCATTGAACTCATTTTCTATGATCAGCAGAGTATTAATTAAATTACGTTTAAAATTTATCCAATCCTCTAAAGAACTTTTTAAAAAAAGTACATCCATACTTAAAAAGTTTTCAATATTTGAAATCCCACTATTAATCATATCCTCGATTAGAAAGAGATTGAAATCAGACGTATTTTTTTTAAAGTTAGTATCAGTAATCATTTTTGGGTTGAGAGCAGCAAACTTAATTTTCAAGTCCTCAAATAATGTACGTAAATTGTGTTGAAAAAAAAACCAATGAGAAGTTAAACTTTTAAAGGGTGACTTCTTATTTAATATGTTTGATATTATACTGTTAATTGTTTTATTTACTTCGGACTGAAAACGTAGCCAGTCCATCATTGGAATATCTGTTTCAAACACAGTGATCAGTGGCGTTAGAGTTTTCCATGGATTAAGTGAAAGCTGAGGAATATCTTCACAAGCTACAACTGGATTATCAGGACCTATCGATCTCATAACTGAAGCCTGAATTTTCTCAATTCCATCGGAAGTATCACAAATAATACGTGCCAATGAGCTTTTCCGAAGTTCCTTCAATTGATCTGTAAAAAATAATTTAAGCTTTACATAGATGATAGTGATACATGTGTAGTAACTGGGAACTTCATTAAGTGATTATAATAAATATTTAATAATATTGATTAATTTGATTACTCTGCTTGAATTTATAGTCAAGAGAGCTTCGGTAATATCATCGATTTATAAATTGTTGTTACTATATATAAATAAAAATATTTAAAGACTCAGGTTTTTTACAACTTTTACAGTTTGAAAACAATCTGTTGTTTTTTAAAATAATTTTAGAGCTCTATTGAGAGTGGAATGTTGGTAAACTAAAATTACTAATAATTTTTTTCCCCACTTGTTTCTTCGGAATTTTCCATGTTGACTTGAAAGTACTTTCAAACACGGACCAACATGCGTTTGAAAAGAGATGAAGCACCTGCAAACTCTATTCGTAGCTGCAGCACATTGACTAACTATGATTCATGCAAACGCACGTTGGCCTATGCTGACTGAAAACGAAAAGTAAATAAGATGATAAAAAATTTTTAATGCAGAGAAACAAAACAACTTTAAAAACAAATAGAGGCAAAAGGTCCAACTGGGAACAGCTGAACTTGGGTGCAATACTAAATACTGGCACAACTTGATATGATGTTTAAAGTTAGAATAACGTAAATCTAATATGTATAGACAAATAATAATACATGCTACACTCCTAGCAAGACATTATTATCAACTTTTCATTTGGTTTTTTATAGATGCATAACATGTCGAGCTACCCTTTTTTCTGCTACATTACCAAATATTTTCATATACCATCCACAATAGCCTAAATTTTTGAATTTATTTAACATGTAAGAGAAAACGGAAAAGCCAAGCTGATCATAAACAATAGCTCTTTTTCCTTTTCCTGACTGATATGTGTCGGGAGAGAGTCCATGTGGTTGCTCTAATATAAGTAACGAGATTTCCGAATCCCTAGAGCACCACGTACTAACTTCCTCTCCAATAACTAGAAGAGAAAAATGTATTAACTAAGATTCTATCAAAATTTCGAATTATTTTTGCAATCAGTCAAAATCACCCGTAAGTTTAATTATGTTAACTTGCGAAAGGCAAGGTAATTCTATTGTTACTACTACCCTTACTTTTAGTATAACTTCTATTACTATAATTAATTTTATTATTGTTATCACTGTTATTATTCTCATATTATTTTACACTAATGTCATCATTATCAGTCGTTTTAACAACAGGCAACGTTAATACTGTTTAGGTATTAGTTGATGTACCGTAGCACACCGATCGTTTATTCATCCAAACATTAATTGAAATATTAAGCGATTCTTTTCACCCTTTCTGCAACAAAATTAGTTGAATGAATGAGCAGTATCCAGCGTTAGTAAATATTAGCAATATTCTATCTTAACATTTATATAAAGTCAAATTAAAGTTTTGTAAGATTTGAATGTAAAGAAAAAAAGAAGGGCTTGCGTAAGTGAATCACCTTTTTTTCTCTTGATGCATGAAGGAGAATGAGCCAGATGTAGGATGTGCCCATTTATGAGTGGCTGAACTATATTAAAAGATCCTGGAGGCCCAGAAGAAAGAGAGAAAGAGTGAGTGAATTACTAATGAGTGAGAGAGAGAATTACTAATCGGTAGACTAAGTAGACCAAGTGTCTCACACTACTGCTCAACAACCGCTCTAATTCGATCAGAACAGTTGGACTCCCCCCCTTCTAAACGCCCAGTCAAAAAATTTAGCTACCTTTTAGCCCCGTGTCCCACTTACGCGCCCAGTGCGAGTCCCAAGTTATTAAGCGCAAGCTTAGACTCGAATAATACATCGGGCCGAAGTAACAAGAGACTATGATTCGATAAGTTTGTAAGTTTTGGGCATTATTTAACTAACCGAGCAGGAGTTTACACAGAAAGAGTGTCGTTTGTTAATAAAATAAACTAATTAAAGTAAGTTGTGAAGCGTTTCATAGTAGTTTTGTAAAATTTAGGCTGTTATGACGTGCTCAAATTATCAGCTACGTAACAAAAATGTGTTTTCAATGCTTTTGTATACGATCTGTTGGTTAAGTAGGGGTCGAGATAATAACAAGCTATTAACCATCTTTACTTATTATTTTCTTATACATCCTAGATCTGTCCTTAATCCATTAATGAATTTTCTAAATTAATAAATACATACACCGCTAAAGTAACAAAATGTAAGTCTGCCACAAAATATTTAACATCACAGCTTTATACATAATAGTACATGACTACTTCTTTTTCAAAAATTAATAGATCACATAATGAAGCTTATTTAAAGAAGATTAGTTCATTAGTCCTATAACATGGTTCCTTTTTAGCTAAAAAATTGAAGAATATGAGTCTAAGAACAAAGAAAAAATGTACATCTTTATACAAAAATTTATATCTGCAGTAATGACACAAACTTAAAAAATTATTTACTGCACATGAGTAACTCATTGAACTTACCAAAATAAATTTTTAGTGCTATAGGTTAACGTAATAACGATCTTACTTATCCATTTCAGAATTAACGATTAAACTATGCAAAAAATTTTACTTTGTCAAAACCTAATAAAAATTATTATTCATGTGTGAACCACATATCTGGTGTATTAGGGGTGTTACTTAGTTAAGATACCTATGTAACACTTAAGCTGTCATGTGTAGGTTGGGATCACGCCGGACCTAGTTGGACAGTTGGCACTAGATTACTCTATTGTATCACCAGTATGTATTGATAAATGAATATCTCATTTATTCCGTCTGATAATTTAGTTTACCTAGAGTTATTAAAAACTTTTCAGTTTTGAGATAATAATTATTATATACGTATGAATTTTTTTTTACAACTTTCTCATATATTTTTTTAATCAAGTAGTTTCAATATGTATACTTAATTAACATGGTAGAATCAAGACAAAATCTGAGCATTAAGGATGCTATAAGGATAAAGTTTGTCAAATATTTATCTTTAACTAATGAATATTTCAAAGATCCACCTATGACTTGAGATGCATACACATATAAGGCATGTGTTACATTTGTTTTTGTAAAGCATGATCTTTAAAATAAAATTGTTGCTTGAAACTTTTAATAGAGCTCATATTTCGATGCTTAAGTAATCTTCAATGCAAATCTTTGATTTGTGCAAGGGCCCGCACATCAGTTTCGTTACAATGACAAATACGTATTGATTATTAAGTATTTCAGTAAGTTGTATTTAAAACATTTACTTTTCTGTTGGCTATTTTCTTATGCTTTTTTAAAGCATTGTGGATTAAAAAATTTTCCCATGTTTAGGACACATAATTTTACTTTTTAGATTAATAGTTAACATATGTCTGTTTAAATAAGATTGTCCTTGAAAATCTTATTGCAAATATTGCAATATGGTATTTTGCCATGTTACTGTCCTTTTGTATTTTAAATAAAGTATTTTTTTTATTTTTAATAACGAAACGACACACATTGAAATCAATATTAGTTTTCTTGTGTTAATTTTAATTACTCTTTTAACTTTCATTGTTGGAGAATTAAAAACAGCAATATGCACGCCTTGTGAGATTTATCTTCCTGAAAAAATTTTTTTGTTATTCACACTTTATTAAAATCAATAATCTTTATTTATTTCTAAACTATTATTACGTAGGTAAGATATTGGTAAGGAGGTACTTTGCGAGAATGATCAACACTTAGTATTTCAAGGACCTTTATTCAAGATACCGTAATCATAGGCAAGATAGCGCGTGTGTTTCCTTCAAAGGCTCGTCATGTTATCCCCCGATAGACTCTCTCCTTGCTCGAACTTCCCTTTCCTTGGCCCTAGGGCCCTTCGTTATGAGATTTGAGGAGAGGGAGTGTAGAGTCTCACTTATACTATCGTACGTTACACGTCCGAGGCCGCGACGTCGTTGTCCTCGACGACGCTGACTTTTTACTTTATGTAGAGCCTGTGTACTTGTTTGCAATCTTATATGTGTGTACTGTTTTGTGTTTTGTTGTTTATGTTGTTTATGACATTGGGTATTTTACACCCGTTCTTCCATTTAATTATAGGGAACCGTTATTATCTTTACATTAATATTCTTGCTCTTCCAATTATTCAATTTCTTCAGTGTGCAGATGCACCATCGTCCTATTTTTTTTTGCATTTTTTAACTGTTTACTGTGATACTAGCATAAGACTCTTTGCACTAGTGCTAATTGCCACGTATTCGTATGTTGACTGTAGGTATGCCACGATGTTCGTTGTATTGAAACCTTCCTGTTATACCGGTAATGGTGATATTTTAAGAAGATCAAAATACTCTCGTGTTACCAGGGGCATCTCTATATAGTATATGATTTTACCATTGAATGCTACGGTCACTATATTTGACGTTTCTTTGATATCTTCCCCTATTGTAGCACTATTCTATCCTGCAAACTTGAGATCCAGCCTTAGCTCTCCTGCTAAGATTTTGGCTTCTAAAATGGCTATTAATACTTCCTCAGGTGGGTGCGTCACATCCCGACTTGCTAGATATATTATATCCGCTGCTCTTCTAAATTTTGTTGAGAGCTCGTTGGCCATTTGTTCAAATTCTTGTATCATATTTAATACACTGTCTTCTCTCGTTATTAAGTCTACAAATATTTTTAATCCATCTTCCGTTATCTTTCGCACTTTTTCTACAAATCTCTCAATATTTTGTAGTTTTCTTTCGTGATTCCCGAACGTTGTTACTGTTATCTGTTCCGTTAAATGTTTGTTTGTGTTGATCGTGGTAGTTGGTTTTGACACCATTAGTTCTTATATTTTTTCCTTTTCTCCTACTGTCATTTGTCCTTGAATTACTTGCGCGGCTGCAGTTTGACTAAAAATTTCTTGGCCCACTACTGCTCTGTGTGCCTCTTGCACTTTTTCTTTCGTTTGTAGAACCTTGTGCGTGGCCCCATTTATACGCCTCATGCACTTTTTTTTTTCTTAATGTTATTGTGTACTTTCAGCTTGCTTGCGTCTGCA